GACTTCTAGATACGCCACTGGATATAGGTGAGATGACGGAATGATATATGTAATAGAAAATTAGATAAAAGTGAGTAGTACAGAGTAAAAAGGATTAGTAGAGCTGAATAGATGTGGAGTTTCATGTGATGTATTGTAATATACTTTAATATAGTCGTAGATGAAAATGGTTACTATGAAATTTTGTTGACGTACTTGTATACTTACAGCCAAGAAAGTACCAATCCTAATCTTCAGCGGTGGTAATGATGGCGATTTACAGAAGTGGGAAAGACTGCAATCAAACCATTTTATGTATAGGTAAGGATTGTCTTTATTTCATGATTTACCTGGATAAACTGACTATTAGAATTTTCTATTAAAAATGAACAACCTTATGAAGAAAATTGAACTGTCCAGTCACTCATGGCTTCACATACCATTGCCATCCTTTTGCATATCGTCATTCTTATCAATTATTCTAAATATCATTATAATTAATCTTATCATATTTTTATCTAACAGCAAAGAGATATTCCCTGTGTCAGAGGCCTACAGTAAACTAGCACAGATTAAGAACATCAAACGACAAGCAGCAGCCAAACAAACAGTACGATCAGTCAATCGACCAAATCAGTACGCCCCCAATGACAGAGAGCTCAACCAAGTAGGTCTTGTTCTACGATTTCCAACTTATTTTCAATATCTCTAATAGTATTGCAAATTTAACAGGAATCTGTAACTATCTTCATGTCCAAAAATGTCAAAATTGACTCAATGTTTTCTTGATTTCATCGATAGAATAAGGTTGTGGATAAACACCTGTCAGCCCTGCTACAGGCCTTGTTTGTTGAGTACTTAGATCTACTGTTGATAGCTTCAGAAGATTGCAATATATGTGAGTTTAACACAGTTTATTTGTTAGGAGTATTATCTATAAATATTTTGTTTTATTTATTTATTCTAAAAGTTATCAAGTAAAAACATTCAAGGATAAAAACAGAAAAATACAAAAAGCAACTTATTCCCATTGTGGTTCCTAAATGAGAATACTGAAATGCAGAATAATAATAAAACTAAACTATACAATACAATACAATACAATTGATATAATTTTAAATAATACTGTACACAGACAATACACTACATTCTAACCAATCACAAGAGGGAGATCTCATGTATGTTTACATTCATCAAAGGATACAGTTTCATAAATCTAATACAAAGCATATTGACTTTCCAAAAAGCAAACATACCATTTTTAAAGTAAATTAATTTCATATTTTTTTTAAGAACATGCTTACATTGTTTAAGTACATTCATTGTTATTCAGATTGCTGGGGTTTTGATGATGCTGCGGTCGATGCTCTGAAGGGTATGAAGCCAGCTGGGTTTGATCACCTTGTCAAGAAGTATGCAATATTACTGAACGATGACTCGGAACTCCTGATGAACAATAGTTGCGATAATCAGGAAGTTCAGGTATTGTATTGTATTTGTAGAAGTAAAATTGAGTAGGATAGGGATCAGGTGGTAAAGCTTGGTTGCCTTAAAATTGCTACACTGTCGCTACAGTGTAAAGTGCCATCGATGTACTACGTAACATTCCCCGACGCAATCGTGTGTGGCGACGTAGGAATGTGTGGTGCAGCGGGTAAGGTGCTGGACTTCTGGTTATGAGATGGGGAGTTCAAGACCAACGCTCGTCGCATTGCTTGTGTCCTTGGGCAAGGCACTATACTTGCGTTTGCTTCTCTCCACCCAGGAGTATGAATGGGTACCTGGTAGGATGGTACTGTATGTCATTGAATGTATGGGTCGTGTGCGTTCAAGCAGCAGTGACCAGGGATACTCTCCAGGCAGCAGAGAAAGTTGCACAATGTACGGATCTGCCAATTCAGTATCCAGTGACCAGGAAAATAATGATGCCAGCACCTTGTATAATCTTTTTTAAAATCTGCGGATTGTGAAAGGGGCTATGTAAATTATGGTTCTATAAAAAAAATTTTAAAAATTGCAAACGCTCTTTGATTCAGCTGACCATTCAGCGTCACCAAAAGAGTCGGTGACAGCGTGTAGTGATTTTTATGGAAACCAGGCTTTACTCAATGAACTTGATTTAGATGATATGAGAGGTAGTCAGGGGTAAGGCCTTTCTGAAATTTGTATACAATGTATGTATGATCATAAACATTTGGATTTGTACTTCTTAATGTAGGAACAAGACTCAGTTACCAATCGTGTGGCAGGTTTCATGTGCAAGAATGTGTTAACAGGACACAGCAACTGTATCACTAGCATGGTGCTGGTTGGCAGGGACAGTGGATATCACAGCACATACCTGGTAAGATAATCAATAATATTTAATAATAATTATGATGATGATGAGATTACCCCACTGTGTAGTTCTCCCACCTCAAATTTTGGTAGCCTTGCCTACCACATAATATCATCTAATATCATTAAAAATTACCTGTCAGAATGTCACATATTATAGTATATTGTGTACTTTTCTATTTAGTTTTTTCTTGTATTTCTAGTATATTTCATTTTTTCTTCACAGCTGTCATCTGGTTGGGATCGACGCATTTGTATCTGGGACTTAGAAAGTGGAAGGTACTCTAGATTTTATTTTTGGAACTGAAATAAACTTTAATAAAATAATAATTATATTTATTGTAATCATAATATTTATAGTAATAAAAATATTTTTATGTCAATTTACATTTAGGAATAATAATTTATTTTTTGTTCTTCCAGCCTTCATGATACCTTCCGCAATACATCACCAAACAATGCAAATGATGAGGAGTTAGCCTGTGATGGTATTGTCATTGATATGACATACTGTCAGAAAAGGTACATTTACATCAACTAATATTTGTCCTCTTATTCATATTTTAAAGGAACCAAATGGTGATCAGGGGGTATCTTGGATTAGAATCATGTTTTTCTCAAACATACTTTTACTTCACACATTTTTATACCACACTTTTTTAATTAACTCCTTCCCCATTTTTCTCCCAAAGGAATGAGTTTGCGTATGCATCCAGTGATAAGATGGTGTACATCCGTAAGTTCAGTGATGACGGCAGTGAAATGACGTTATGCAATACCCTGCAAGGTCATGACGCTGAGATCACTCAGGTCAGGTGGAATACTGTCACAGATAAATGGATCACAGGCTCCGAAGATGGCACCATTAGGATTTGGGTGAGGATTACATTTGGGTTAGGCAAAAAGGATATTGAAATTATCAGTGCTACATTATTAGGCAACTCTCAGTACTAGAGGATTTGGCAGATTAGAAAGTCACAACCCTAATTTTTAGGCAGATTAGATAAGTCTCGGTCAAGCTTAGTTTTTAAAAAAATCGCTATATGCTGTTGCCAACTCCTTTGCTGACGCTGATTGGTCATTTGAATCAGGGAGCGTTCTCGATTGCATCGGGGACAGCCACACAGTGCAAGGATTGCAGTGAAAACGCTGTAGCGACTGTTTAGCAATCCTATGGAAACTGAGCTTCCTAAGGATTACTCAGATTAGAAAGGATTATTTGATGATCTTCAGGGACACAAGCAATATGACCAACATCAGACTCAAACCTCACTACCACATGGTTGAAGGGAGCCTCATCAATTACATTTTACATATGAGCACTAATAGGTATTGTAATCAATGATAATAAATAATAATTATATGAAATTTGCTTTTATTATATTCCATGTGTATTAGAGTGAAGATGGGATGTCATGTGACCAGATTCTAGCCACTCACGGACCAGTAACATCGCTGTGTATTGACTTGAAAAATGGCAGTGTAGTGGCTGGAATACAGAACACAATCAAGTTAGTGTTCAACATTATTATTATTATTATTATCATTATTATTATTATTATCATTATTATTATTATTATTATTATTATCATTATTATTATTATTATCATTATTATTATTATTATTATTATTATTATTATTATTATTATTATTATTATTATTATTATTATTATTATTATTATTATTATTATTATTACTATTACTATTATTACTATTACTATTATTACTATTACTATTTTTATCATTATTATTATTATTATTATTATTATTATTATTATTATTAATTATCATTATTATTCATATTATCACTCACCTAATGAAGCCTACATCTACTGCTGGTGAAAGCTTGTGAAGAGTCTTTTATTTACATTAGTTTAGAGCACTACATTTGTATTATTTATCTTATATTATTATTATGTATTTTTACCTATTATTATATCAAAGATTTGAAGAGATCATTATTTTAAATCTACAATTGTATCCCATTCTAAAAGATACTAATGTTCAATCTTAGTTTAATTTCATCCTTATTTTTATAGAGTGTATGACTCTGAAACCTTTAAACTAATGCAGACTAACATCGGACACAGTGACTTAGTCAGAAGTATCATACATATCCCTGACAGAAATCAGGTAAGTCAATCTGCAGAAACCTTTCACTGTAGTTTTTTTACACATTTACTACAAATTCACACATCAGAAATACTGTATATGTAACCACAAGTGTTTGCTCTATAAAATTTGAGGTATGTTATGGCAAAATGACTAAGTTGTAGCAAAAATTGAAATTCAAGTTATTGGTATTTTCAGATACCGAGTATGTGATTTTAAAAATGAGGGATCATTCATTCAAATTGGACATTTCAAGTACAAGTTATTGGAAAGTGAAAGTACAGTACTCTTAGAATCAAGATAAACATGATTTTGAGTAATTGCCTTTCAAAGTTATTTGTGCATACACTGTTTAATAGAACGAACTATCAAAATAACATTAATTAAACAATTTCTTGACCACTTTCAAAACTAAAACTTTTGTACATGATTAATAAGACATTAATCTGTTGATTTATAGTGAAAAACAAATTTGGATTTTTAGGCAATTTTTTGAGCTCCCATATTTCGTAGCTCATTTACTCCATACAGGCCTGTGCGACAACTTAACCATTTCGCCACGACATGCCTCATTTATTGATAGCTGGTACCGGCTTACCAGGTAGTTTAGACACGAAGAGACCCTTAGGGGAGAAGAAAGTTATTGTGCTAGCTAGTCCACACCTTGAACACTTTGAGATAGAGCACTATATAAGTCGAACCACATTACATTAAACAGTTCAACAATCTTTTGAGAGGGTTGCTCTAACAGGAAAAAGGCCCAATATCAATAAACCATATACATATATTAACTAATGCCCATCAAATATGGGATATATGTATAAAAGCATTAAAATATATCGAATCAATCAATTTCTCACCATGTAGTACGTGTCAGCCTCCTGGGATAAAACAATTCGAATATGGAACGCATACAAACAGAAGAAGCGTGTTCAAAAATTGGATGAAAAACGAGATGGTACTTCATGTTATACAGTAAATAATCCTAACCATTCTGTTGATGACATGTACACACCATGTTAATAGTTGTGAATGTGTTGTGGGTGTAGTCAACAACTTGATGACGGAAGCTGATTGGTTTACCCATGTTGTGGGCATGATCAGCTTCTTAGGAATTTAATCTGATTGGTTTACCCATGATGTGGGTGTGGTCAGTGTCTTAGGAATTTAAGCTGATTGGTTTATCCATGTTGTGAATGTGGTCAGCTACTTAAGGATTAAAGCTGATTGATTTATCCATGTTGTGGGTGTGGTTGGCTAGTTGATGGATGGAAGTTGATTGCTTTATCTGTGTTGTGGGTGTGGCCAAATACTTAATGATAGCAGCTGATGAGTTTATTAATCAATATGGTTATCCAAGTGAATTGATTTTTGAATTTCTGTGATGGCAACTCACAAGAACAACTCTTATTGATAACTCATATTGTTCAATTTTTATACATTCCATATTTATTGTTTGCTGTGTGCTTTCCAGTCTTACCAAAGTATTTTAATGCTATAGCTTTCATAAACCAATATATTATAATACTATGTAATATATATTTATTAGCATTTTATTTCCAAATCATATGGACGGTGTCTATATTTATTAAAGTACTTACCAAAAACATTATTCTTATTTATTTTTTTCTTGTGTTCTTTGTTAATTTTTTTATTAACTGAGGTATAAAAAATGGTGAATACAAAGCATAGCACAAAGCTATAATGCTTGCATATGAAACACCTGTCAGTCCACTGCTTAGTATTGTTGCTAGTATCTTACTTGTAAACCACCAGCTTTACCATTGATTTTATTGATTTCAGCATGATGCTTCAGTTGGTACAGAATAAATTATAATTGTATTTATAACAATATAAGTATACTGTAATTATTAAGGTTATAATAATATTTGAATTCTATGGATGCATTTTAAAAGTATGTAGTGTTTATATGATGATAAAGGAATACTTTATTGGTATTTAATATTAATGCCTTGAAAAAAACCTAATGACATACTAGCAACTTATTTATTTCAACTGGTGTCTTTCATTCATTTTATCAAAATTTACATTAAAAAAAAATGTATATTATTTTATACGGTTGTCCTAACAACTCTTTAAGCTTCATGTTTTATTCATGTTTTGAAACATTTTTGGTAAGTTCCGTATTGTTCATTCATATATTCATTCATTTACTCATGTATTCATTCATTAATTGTTCATTCATTTTTTCATCCATGTATTTATTCATTGAATCATTCATTCATTTACTAATCCATTCTTGTATTCATTTGTTTTAAAAGCTGTTTTGAAAGCTGTGGAACCGCTTAGCTATATTTATAAATAACATACATAGTACAATACATGACGTACTATTTTGTTCCTGTGGGTGTTGAGATATTTGTGTGCATGTTTCATCCACAACATGTTTTGCTTTTTAAATATTGTATATTGTAAATGATTCAACTGATGTTGAATTTTATCTGTATGATACATTTATCATATGTTTGTATGTAAACAACTGCCAACCTATATACTATCAAACAAGTTTGTATGCTGCAAGTGATGTGATACATAATACCAATATATATATATATATATATATATATATATATACACTGTAACGTATATTGAAAACATTAATTTTTATATTTTTACACATATAATATATTGTATATGCTTGATTATATATTTGTTATTTTAAAATGATTATTATAATAAAATTGTTAATGCTTTGAATCAATTAGGTCTTGACTTTCAACTTTGTTCAGTGCAACCAGCAAGATCATTTGGTAAGCAGTGTGTGCTACACAAAAGTACCTTTGACTCAAACACAGTATCTAGCATGTGTGTAGACATGCTAAGAAGAAGCACAGCACTGTAAATACAATATAAACAAATAAATATATAATCATACCAGTGCTTGAGTAGGAACATGTGATGTCATCAAAAATAGCCCTTCAACGAAAAGTTGACCTTAGGTCCAATAAAATTTTGTATGTTCATCACGATATTCTTAAAAATTAAAATGTTAACTCTCCACACGGCAACTGAGAGCGAAGAGTGCACAACACTTTGAACTTATCTCAGTCAAGAAATTATCACGGTCTAGATACTGATGGATCACAAATTACAATACAAATTACACAACAATTCCCATTTGTAACTTTAATATACTGCAACTTCACACATTTCAAAAAAATTATATAAAGCTATTTCAGTTTCAGTTTATATGTACTATATCATGGAATAAATGTTAAACACCGTGTCACATACCAACTCCATAAACCTTATATTTTTTTCATTCTATTCATGTAAATCAGAGATTAACAAGGAACAGACAACAAAATGAGTGAATGATTTGATAAAATAAAAACAGGAAAAACACTTAATACATAAAAAATAAAAAGAAATCTAAAAAATGCACAAATATTTTTATTGATTAGTCTAATTATCCTATGTTTATCTAAAATATACTGTACTACTATAAATTGTTAGTATCGACTGATATTAATATCATAATACTAATAACAGTACAGGTGTACGATGCGTTTATTTTGTTTAAAATTTCAAGTTACTGAGTTGTCAAAATCGACCTGAATGTTTTTATCCAGTGGCGTATCTGGGTGATGTGTGGGTGGCACATGACCCCCCCCCCCCCCTCTATTACTAGAAATGTCTGAATTCATTCATTCATGGATTTTTATTCAATATTCAATATACAAAATTCAGGCAAAAAAAGTTAAAATTACAATTATGTCATTAAAACAACAAAATTACCATAAAAAATGAGTAAGTGAATAAATAAATAACGGGGGAACAGAAGGCAGTATAATGTATTGTAGACGAATCTAAATTGCACATTATTTACATTGCCCTGGTTGGGGTAATTAAAACAGTACATTAAAAAGCGAAATTACACGATTACAGGTAAAAACGAGTAAAAAGAAATGTAAACTAAATTGATCACATCAACATTAAATCAAATTTAAACATGGATATATCAAAAAATTAGACTGTTTATATAATACTGATATTGTTAGTACAGTATGTTATTTTTACTTCAATAGCTCATAATAGTAAGGCCTTTGTTTTTTACTAATATCTATAAAAACAGTGAATTAAATGTAGTTTCTGAATAGTACTTTTATTAAGCAAAACAAATAGTTAAAAATCACCTTATTTAGTGAGCTAGCTTCTCCTCCCCCTTTTTCCTTTTTACTACCCCTCAAGACGCCTAGATATGCCACTGTTTATATAATACTGATATTGTTAGTACAGTATGTTATTTTTACTTCAATAGCTCATAATAGTAAGGCCTTTGTTTTTTACTAATATCTATAAAAACAGTGAATTAAATGTAGTTTCTGAATAGTACTTTTATTGTGAATTCAGGTTTTATTATTTGGCAATGTTACATCAGAATTTATTTGAGGAAATTAAAGCACTTCCAACATACACAGGAAGACTGCTCCACATGCACTGCCCCATCAATATTGTTGCTAAGGTCCCGTACATGACAGTGTAAAAGGGACATGTACATAATCTTAGCCCTGTTTGATTGGTCAGTTTGTGACCACCACACTGAGAGTGCATGTTTTGCATCACTCATTTTCTTTAGGAATTACACTACAAGGTGCTTGCTTACCATTCTTCCCAGTGTATAACCAAGAAGCCTTAATTACTAACTCCAATAACATAATTTCAAATACATTTTTTTTTATTTGTTAAAAATAGTTTACAGCATTTAAGTTAAAGGCTCAAATAATAAATATTTTCTAAGAACTACATCAAAGATGTTAGAAAGACAATTAAGACATATTAAAATTGTTTGCTATATAGACAAATATTATGTTTTAATATCCATCTATATTCACAAGTATAAACAGTGAATACAGAATATATAAATATTATTTATAAGTTTTTTTTATGCATAAAAAATATATGCACCATGGCATAGGAATTATGTTAGGTCAATGTTATAGTTCACACTAAAAATCCTTTCTCTCTCAATAAGAATTAATAATCACAAATGGATCATGCATTAAAATACTAATCCTCCCAGCTCAACACACACACACACACACATTCCAACACACACCCGCACACAACTCTCCTCCCACTTCCAAGCACATAACAATGCCCTGAATGTAATTCGTCATTCCTGACTTTGGGAATCAGCATATTCTGCATCCCTATAAGCAGAGCTTTCATCTACAGGCTGATGAAGTGGTTCTCCGTCTGTGGATGACATTGAATGTCTGCGTCGCTTTAACAGTTTAGTCTTTAAGCTGTGGTAACCATACAATATCACCACGGGCAGTATACTAACAACGCAAAGACCGGCCATCACGTATGAAACTATAACAAGCACCGTGTCCGAGTGTGACTGGTCATAGATGCACTCCACACTATTAGCTATAAAACGAGTCAAACAAAAGTGGTTTCAATTTAAACATTCACAATCTTATAAATATGCAATACAAATTCTTTTAAAAAAATAAGTTGATAGTATTTTATAGCTGAGATTATAAACACAATGCTAAATTAAAAAACTAAATTCAGAAACTTGTAAAAATAATTCTGGATATTTAAGATGTAATAATGCATATATAATTGTACTGCATACTAAACACTACACTACACTATTGATCTAAAATGTATACTGCTGTACTGAAAAACAAACATTTTATATTTGAATTAATTATTAAGATTTTAGTTCCTCTTCAATTACAGATGTACAATTCCAGTATTTGTATAGAATCTTATATTGACGGTTAACCCAATTGTTGTACCTAGTCACACAATCATAACTGGGGTAAAGTTTAGGAATAGACTAAAATGAAGATAAAACTATATATATATATATATATAATATATATAGGTGATCTTTTTTTAAGTCATCAAAGGTGAGAGGGCTCAACCGGTTGGGAGCAAAAACGTAATAAATAAATGCATATGGAATTTTTCTAAGTTTGTCTACTTTGTTCGTTTTATATATATATATATATATATATATATTAGATGTTAACTTATGAATAACAATCGAATTAGGGGTGACTAAGGCAATAAAGGGAGTGTCAAGGAAAGGCAGGATTAATTGAGGGTAATTCATGCATTTGTTTATTTTCATGAGAATAGAAAAGAACCTTTCTCATAGGGAAAGGGAAGATATGTCCTGCATGGTTCTGATGGCCCTGTGTGTTTTTTAGACACCAATATGGACACCAAATTTCCTTAAGCAATTGAAAAAGAACTTGGAAATGGAATGATAATAATTAAATTAGTGAAGATCTAAAAAACTTTAAAAAAGAATCACCTTTTACCCTTGGACCACTGATTTTCACCAGGGTTTCATTTCCTTCCACCACTGTATAAAAGACGAATATGATAAAATGCATGCAATTATAAAATAATACCATATTGTTACCAATGTTACACATAGTCTGCCATATTGTATACTTTACAGTTGTCCATATTGTTTACTTTACATTCGGCTATATTGTATCTGTATGACGAACAGTTTGCACTCACAGTTTATTGCTTACAGTAGATTTTATTGTATCTATCCATAGTAAGTTATATGGGCCAGGAAGTGGTAGCCATATTTCTTTTAACATTGTTGGAATATGGACTTTGAAAATAATCATATGTATGAATATTCCTTTTTAAAAATTTTTTGTTTACATATTTAAAATAATATTAGTGGAATTAATACCCATATTAATTTTCATGCATAATCAATCAAATTATTTTTTCCCCAATGAATATTCAAAATTATTAAACTTACTCTCATCAGAATTATCATCAGGGTGAAATTGGGACTTATGTAATCTCTCAGCTGTAACAATGGTGTATGTGAAGAAAGCAACCATTGATAATCATAAAGCATTAAAGTCAATAGCTATCTATTGATTATATATCCAATATCAGTTGAGTGTTTCACACAACGATACATGTTTGTCTATGTAGACAATACTGTAAATAGATGCCATATTATGGTGCTTACTTAATTAAGGTGGCATTATTCAATTTAACTAATACAAAAATGGAAATAAAGTACAAATAATCAAATGAAACAGAAAATAGTAATAATGAAAGAATAAACCAAAAATTTAATAAAAAATTACCACCAGAAGTTTGATAAGCCCAATAGGACTCAGCAAAAAATTTAAGCAAGAATTGTAGAGTACTGAAAGCATAACATTCATTAAAGTGTACACAATATAGAATAATATAATTATGTCATAATCATAGCAATTGTTTTCAATGAAATATTATAGATTAACAATACAGATAAAGCTTGGTTTCCATACAATCGCTACACGCTATCGCTGACAGCTTTCGGTGATGCTGATTGGGTGGTCGAACCGGGGAGCCTTCCCGATAGCATCGGGGAATGCTACGCGGTACAACGATAGCACTGAAAACACTGTAGCGACAGTGTAGCGATTTTATGGAAACAAGGCTTTACAGCAACTGCTGAATTACCTGCACAGTTGGAGATGGCGAAGCCCACTCTATTGTTCTCCCGGTCAAACACAACATAGTAACCCTCCATCACAACAGCACCTATTACCGTACCTACGTACACAAAACATGGCAGCAAATATTAGGGAATTAATTTGTGGTTCTATAATTTTTCTAACAGTAGGTTTGAAAGAAGATTGCCTGTTGCTAAAATATTAGTATGTTTTGATGATCTTAATGGAAAGTTTATTGATATATATGTCTAGTACTGCACATATTTATCAACCCCACACCCAGGAAATTATTTTTTGTTATCATAATGGTGAAGGCATCCATATGTTATGTGCCAATGTAACTGAGAGTACGTACTGCTATAATCACAGACAGGCATTAGAATTTGAGTTGACTTTCACCATAGATCAAGGATTTTGTATAACAAAATATCACTATCTATTATGCAGTACACTCTTCGGAAAGAGAAGGGGATTGTTTCCCCCTGTAACTACTTAACTGACCACCAAATGGACCCCACTGGATAGAAGTTGTTGGACTACTGTAGGTCTTTCCTGGTGTTTCATTCCAAGGAAATCTAATCCAGGCCAGGCCATCCAATCCAATCCAGGCCATCACAGGCATGTCACATGGACCTGACAGGAAGTCATTCAATCAACTATTCATAATGCTTACAAGAAAAAATTAGAAATGATTACAGCTGCAGATCCAGGAATTTGAAATAGAGAGGTCTAGGGAGGTACTTTCACAGATAAAGGGTTTAGACCACCTCTTGAATCCGGATCAGGATTAATACATGCTTTACAATCTAGATGTAAAGTCTTACCAGTTGTAGATGATGCAAATCCTGTTTTGTAGCAATCTTTACCAGGCTCGTTACCATTCACCCATCGTATGTATTGCTAGTTTCAAATATTAAGAAATATATATTAATGAAATATATACAGTATTAGGCATACAGAGCACTATATCACTTTGTTGTGATACCTCCTTTTCTAAGCAACTTTCACCAAGCGTTTAATACAGCTGAGTGCCTCTATAGCCAAGCTACAGTTTCCATAACTTATTGCACATTACTGTAACTTTTATAATCAAGCTGCTATGGATAGGCCTACTGTTGCTGCTTTATCTTGTACAATTCATTTGTGCGCTCTTTGAATATTTCTTGAAAGACCAAATGTTTTTGTTATTTTTGATGTTCATTTTTGGTTGTTTATTCTTTAACAAATATTGTAATATTGAATCTTTCTTTTTGATGGCAATAAAGATTATTTGAATAGATTATCCAGCCATATCGATCACTTGGGTAGTGTTGCTTAGTAACAAAGGGATGTCATATGTTGTGACATCTGCCTCATTGTGTACTCTATCCATATGTAAATAAAGTTCCATAATCTGACTACACATACATAATGTAATGAAATTTGTAGAAAAAAAAAACACATTGAAATTTAAAATAAGGTATGATGATTACAATACAATTGTATTACAATACATACAATGACCTTACCTCTGGTGGGATTGTAAGCCTAAATGATGTGTCATCTTCTGGCCCTTCTAAATCAAGGTAAACGGTTGGGAAATGATAAAATGGTGTCGTTCCAATTTCCCAACACATTACTTCAGTTCCCTGCCAGAATGTGTCTGGTACTTCAACCTATCAAATACATTATAAAAAAAAGTTACCAATGTATCTCCTTTGTATAATAATAGGTAATAATGAAGCTCATCACAAGTCCACTACATCTATTAATTATGATATTAAAAATTATCAAAATAATTGATACAATTAAATAATTAATAAAATATTTTAGCCACTCACATCAATGATCTGCCTGGATATAGCTGCTATTAATGTCTTAAAAACCTTATAAGGAAGACGCAAGTTTGTTGTTCCACTATCAACTATAGACTTGTCAAAATTATACTGGAAAAAAAAAACATTTGCTTAATTAATATAAAGTCATGTCTTATGGGTTGTTTCAGTATATAAAAAATATATGAAAAAAACAAATTGCTATAGATATTTAAACTGATCAGAAACGTCATCAACCTCCAATCAAACGTGATAAAAACAAGTTCACTCATTAGATTTATAGACTTTACTAAAGAAATAATTACTTGATTAATACCACTACAGTGCACCCTCCAAATCGAAACCCCTCTAATTCCGAAACCCATTTTTAGGACTACTTTTGAAAGAACCAAATAACAATCTTCAACTAACACTAAGTAGAGACTGAGACCACCCCAAATTGTCAGATACCGAATTACCAATTGGAGGGCAAACTGTTGTATAATACCATGAATAATTCTTTTTTAATTTTGTGACATTAAAGGCTGCTTTTCATATTTTGGATGCTGCTTCCATCAGGCCTATCCTTAAGATATACAAAAACAAAAACAAAAGAATAGCAGAAGTATGAAATACTGTGGAATATAGGAATTATACTATTTACACATCATTTTTTTCATTCATATTTTCAATCGAAGACTGCAAAAATTACAAAGCAGGTGCTAATCAATTAAAATATTGAATTAATTTGGTCATAAGTGTATTGAAACACAAATAATTTATCCATAAAATAAACAACTGGAATATTAAAAGACAAAGGCACACTATTACTTGAGTAACATTATGCATATGAACGTATACAGTGGTTTACACGTGGCACATTATATAAAATGCAGATGTTTAACAGTTTTAATAAAACTCATTTCCTCCTTCAAGATGCTGGAAATCTGTTCTTCTTTTCAATCAAAAGATAAATAACGTAGCAACCTACACATAACATACACCTACTGCATCAGAAGTAATCATTATTGATCTGTCAGTTTTGAAACTAAGTCATTAGCTCAAAATGAAAATTTAAACAAGAACTGCCAAAAAAACAGACTGATAAATAATGTTGTTTTCTTCGCATTTAGGCTATGTTTTCACACGGCAGCTAACGGTTAGCAGGATCCAGATCCTGCTAACCGTTAGCTGCCGTGCATCCATGTGAGAAAATCCGACTCCAGATACCAACAATATGATAATCGAATCACTGGCCAATAAGAAACTGGAAATTGTAAACGCGTACGTGTGATTGGTTGATGATAGTAACGCCCTCAACTTGCTAACCGATAGCGCTCGCTAACCGTTAGTGTTTCCGGATGCCGCTAACGGTTAGTGCTAACCGATCGGGCGTTCTCACGCAGGTGCTAACGGTTAGCTCCCAATCCGGATACTAATGCTCTCGTGAAAACCAGGCTTAAATATTAATTTGGTGGGAAATCAATTTAAGAATATTCTTGAGCCCTGTTCATACTATCCTATTTTATTTGACAAAACCATGTGACATAATAATAATAATAATAATAATAATATATGTATTTTTATTTGGCACAAAATGCTAGAAACCTCTATGCATTTTACATTGAAAGCAAAAGCTGGATCAGAATTAAAAGAAAAGATGATAAAATATGAGCAAAAATCTTTGTGCAATCAAATCAACAATCAGAAATTCATCAAAATAATAACAACTTAATTTTATGATTTTTTTTTGTTTAAATGCCCATGATGACATCAAATCATGACCACATATAGGCACATCATGACTATATATAGGCATACAAACGCGAGTGTCTGAAAATCAGCAAAAAATCTATCATCTTGGATTTGTGAAATATTTGTTCCCAAAATGAGTAATTCAATAGTTTGAATCAGTTTTTTAGGCTTTCCATATTTTACCAGAGACAGTAGGCCCTATATAGTTAAATTAAGTGATGAAGAAATCAAAATGCAGCATGTATTTTATTATGATACCTCTTTACAATCTAGTCCTAGACTCGTGTTATTTGTGCCCATGTCTGTGACTGTAACATCAAAATACCATTTGCGCTTTATTCGTGTGTAAAATATCTCTCCTTGGTACAAATCTTTATCAATTCCCCCAAATGTCTATAAAGATAAAGAATAAATAATATAAATAATATAGCAAGTAAACAAACATATCAAGACGAAAGAAAGTTACACAGTATTGCTCCAGATCATTAGCTTCCCATTTTCAGGTTTTATCCACAGAGTATAAAAACTTTATTTAAAACAAATTTTAAAAATGTTATTAAGCCATACTTGTAAACAATTTTGTTACTGTTCACCTGGTTAAAAAAAAAATTGTAATTACAGTACACTGTTTTTCTGCTTTTTAGCAACCAAGTTCTTGAATATATTTTGGTCGCCTTCCACACAATTCTGTTACTTTAATTTTGAAAGGCTATATTAAATGCACTTTTTTACTGATTATTTATTTTGTTCTGTGTGGAGAAACAAACAAACTAAATGCATACATGTAAACATTGATAAAATACATGTAAATTATGTGGATGAAATGAGTGAAAGCGGCACTAATCTCATTAATACAAGACGATAGTTAATATGCATACCATTGAACCGGTTGAGTGTATACTTGAATGGTTCCCTATTGAGTATGGTGTACATAGCTGCATAGAAAAAATATCATTGACAATATTGCCATCTACTAGCGAATCAAAATATGTTGTCACCCAGCTGCCAGGCTGAGAAAAGAATGAAAAAAATCAATTGGCAACAATGATGATATGATGATAATAATGACAGATGAAGAGAAAACTCAATGTAAAATTGAAATATTCCTTCTTTAATTTTCACATAATTCTAAAATACAGGGGTCCCAGGTCCCTGCCAAGTTGCGGGAGTCTATCAGAAATCGGGACAGCCGCCCACACTTCCGCAACTGGACAAGTATCTCCCAGAAAATAACCATCTGGCATAAATTCATTAAATCTGTTTTTACTACTGTACTACCCTTTTATTATTATTTGCCTCATGGAAGTCAATGTTGATTGGTATCACCATAAATAGTAAAATTAAAACAAAATTAGTTAATACAGTGATAAGAAACTAGTTCAAACAGATTTCCCAGAAATGACTTGTTCCAATTTGGGACCTTAAAAATTATATTTTCAAAAGTAAAGCTTTTGTTAATTTAGTTACATTACCCTTGCAATGGAGCTGTATGCCATCCCAAGTATTCCCTGCCACTCAGATCCATTGATAAAGAACTTCTCAGAACTATAAATACCAACGATGTGAGCACGCACAGTAGAATTAGGATCACTAGGAATTGTGACCATATCAGTCCCTAAGCGACCGTGCCACTCCCCTTGGGTGTATGGTACATATACCTCTGTTGAACTTGATTCATATGTTGAAGAACTGTAGAAAGAAAATTTGAGTCCATGTTAAACATCATTTAGTTTTTATATCAAGAAATTGTTGTAATTATTTATAAAGTGAATACACCAATTATAGAGAACTTTAATTATGTTTGCATTTTAAACAAAAGAGGAAGTTATCTTGTGTCAAATGGAAAAAAAATTTTGGACTTGTTTAAGAATGAATGTACAACCCTAAACACTTGAGGGCAGTCTCTTAACTACCAACGTACACTTTCCTTAATAATTGTGAGTGCACTTACTTATCTGGTTCATAATATGTGGTTACAAATGGATGTGCAGCCGCCGCTACAGCAAAGTTACTGCTACCAGTATCAACCAGTATACTCAGCTAAAAGTAACAATACAAACTTGTCAATATATTATTATTATATTTCTAATTTAGTTCTTAAATCAAATTTGTATGATGTGTGCTGTTAATCGCATGCTTCCACCCTCACTAAAAAAAATATATATAAGATCAGCTTGCTGAATTTTTTTTTTTTTTTTTTTTTAAATTGAATTTTTTTAATTGAAACTTCTCGGGCAAGTGCCTTCTTCCTTTTGATTTGTTTAATAACCCCATTGTTTTATTGATCTCTGTTATTTGACTACATATGGAAGAAAATAAATGTATTTTTGAATTGAATTGAAAATGTGGTACAGTATATCAAAATTGTGATGTCAGTCACATTAAAAAGAATGATTCAGAGTCTGCTATTTTGATGATAATATTAATTAATTAATTAATCATTAACTTTCAAAACCTCAACTAAGTATGTCTAATTTGGTCAAAATAAGCTTGACTATGTACTACAGTACTTTAGCACACATTAAAGCAGCAAATGTTTAGAGGTTTATGGCCTACCAGTATGCAGCGAATTATCCAATACGGAAATCATACTACTTTGCTACTACTGTAATAATGAGCAAGGATGTGATATTATAAACAGGCATAGACTGGGTCCTAGAATAACAGATCTATCCTGTAAATCTGTGTATAAACCTATGTTTATATAGAAAGTAAGTGCAGTAACTAAATATAAATCCATTCCAATTTCTAATTTTTTTTTAATTTCTGCAGATGCCATCATGAGCCAATATGCATTCAACATAAAATGATAAAATACAAAAGCAATATAATACAGTACTGTTTATTTCATTTCATTTCATTTATTTATTAGACACAAAGGTCCTGGGACTTCTAAAGAAGCAATAGCCTCTGTGACTCAATGAGTCAGAAGTCCCAGCTTACAGTAAATATACATCCAATTATAATGCTTAGAATATAACAAATTCACTTCCACTGAATTTTTTACAACTGAAGGCGAGATGAAAAAAATGATATGAATTCAAAATATTTGATTTTTATTTGAATTTTTATTTTTTATTACAAATCTTCATCCAACAGCAAAAAGCCAATTAATATAGAATGCCTTTAAAAAGATTATGATTTTCATAAATAAAATAAATTTAGATAGAGTGTGAGGTTGAAATTAATTTCATTATCTGAATTTAAATTTCAATAGAATTCATGAAGGTAGGATGCACCATATGGCAACATTTCCCTTGCATTTAATTAGACCTGTACAGTTGACCTGAAAACCATTGTATTGTAACAATGTGGACACACGGTACATTATTTTTTTTATTTATACTAGTATTATAAATTAATAATTAATTATAAAATAACAATAATAAATAAAATAGCATATTCACAGAAAATAATATTAATATTACTGATACAGATATTGCTCTAGACAATGGTACTATTAATTTAACATGTACATATTTAAATTTGAAAGGTCAGATATAAATTAACAAACACAATTGATTAATTAACGATTACCTGGCCAGAGGAACTAGAGATAAAAAAGCTTGGTCTTTGATTATTAAACCTTAAATCAATTTGACTAAATAATTAAAATACTGTACAAATGCTTGCAGGTGAAGTATGTTGAAATAAATTATCTTTCTGTGGTAGATTATAAACATAAATTAATTTTATAAGAAACATTTAAATTAATTATATTACAGAACTGTACTTGACTTGATATGGAACACAAAGTGTTTAATTCATTATGCAATCAACATCTAATCAAATGATATACATTATCCCTTAAATTTATATAAATGTATATATTCTCCTTCTTCTTATCATGTCCACATGTCCCACACACTTGCTGGCTATTTTCTTTTAGCCAGAGCTGGACACAGTTTCTTTCTAGCACAATCATTGTACACTGACAGGTCCATCAGATGACATGATGAAATTGATGATACAAGTAGGTGTTGACTTAAGTGTGTAAAAATAATAAGGAACAACTGAACCTGGGGTAAAACTGTTTTTATTTTTAACTTCACTGTCCTTTTTTGATAATATTTCTATCAATTTAATAGACTGTACCATAGACATGTAATGCTTTATGCTTATGCTTTTTATATATTAAAGAATCTAAACAAATTGACTTATTCATAGCATATGCTATTTGGTAGCTATTAAATCAGGTAGTATTGATTTCTTGCACGGCCACATCCTATTGTTTTGCAGTGCTGCACATATGGAAAAGTGTTGGTTTTGTCACTCATGTCATTGAATTTTGTTCAGGAAGCTGACCAATCAATGTAAAATACAAGGATTTCGTGCTGCTTAAACTAACATCAAAGAGTTACTTTGCAGGATAAAATTAGCATTTTTCTTTTAAAATAATGTTAAGTGTTAGGACCCAATGATTGGCTAGAATTCTTTATAAGTGACCTAATAAATCTGCCTGCTATAGGTCTGCTAACTGATATACAGTAAATGGTAATAATCTTTCTAATTATAATTTTCAGTTTTAACTCTTTTAAAAAAAGTACTACAGTAGTTTATTATTGTAGCCTCAATGTTTCAAAGGCTGAAATGGTAAATACTTTATCTTCTACAAAATTATTAAGTATCTAGTAGCTGACTATAACAAGAAAAATAAACCAGCAATTACATGCTAATTTATTTTTACAGTAAGATAGGCACTATAATTATTGCATTGTCTTTTTATTGTTTTAGTTGAATAATGTATTACAGAAAAGATGTACTGTCTTTAGAGTTATCACATTAAAAATGACATTTATACCTCAGCTTTATTTTGTAATTCAGGTTACTATTCATTTTGTGACTCAAGTATCAACATAATCATTGAATATAGAAATCTTGAATTATTTCCAAGATAAAAAAATTAACGTTATTCCATAATGCTAATCACAAGAGTGGTAATGCCGGAATTAGCCAGAGGAGGAGCTCGAGTTGGATAGGAGGTTGCAATGGCACAGTTACCCACCTGACAGATTTGAAATGCGTCAGTGACTACACCAGTAGGGGGATGGCCCTACTGGGATGGCCGGGGACTGCCAGGTTCCCACTGGAGTCCAGGGGTTGAGCCCTGGTGGGGGGTCAAGGTTTCAGTCACATAATCAACAGTTTGTTGTGACAATGAACGCGCAAGACCGCGCACACCTGGATTCTACTAGTGCCTGGCATGTGGTTGGCTGGGTTGCTAGTCAGGAAAGAGGAATTTTCACAGTCACTTGATTCTTGAATGAGATAACGAAAGCTTTCTAATGAATCAAGATAATGCATGAAAGTTTATATGGAGACTTGTGCTAAATGTGTGGCAAATTTATGACCACGCATATGTTTCTGCACAATGCGCGCTTCCTCCAACATCACTTTGTAATGCTGGACCGTCCCGCACGATGCGAGACTGTTGGTATGCACCGAGTCCCCAACAGAAGCATAATTGGATGGGTCAGGGGGCGCTGCCCATAAATCTTTCATTGGTTCAGTGGCAAAACCCCCAGAGATCTGGAAGGTTATCTGAAAAATACATTTATTTAAAAGTAAACTATGGAAACAGAAAAATACAAAAAAAAAAAAAATGTTTAAATAAATAAAATATTACTATTTATTTCATACATAATTCATAATGGTTATAATTCAGATCAAAGGAATTGATTGGTAGAAAACAGTGGTAGATTTCTCATGTGTTTTGTATCAAATAACTAGCAGTACATGCTATGATGTTGCCAAGGAAAGAATATAGATTTAAACACAGGGGCGGATCCAAAATTGTTCACACGGGGAGTACGGAGCTCAACACTTTCGGAATAGATAAGTAAGTTGTGATTATTTCAATACATAACATTGATATGCATTGGAATTTTGAAATTTAATGGAAAAAAAGGGGGTGGGGTGTGCCCGCTCCCCGTGCTCCCCTATGGATCAGCGCCTGAAACAATGAAAATAGCTTACCTCTTGAGGTGGGGTACCAAGACCCAATTCTATATAGAACCCTAGGCCTGGCTTTCCGCCTACATCAGCTTTTATAAGTGGTTTCGAGATATCGGTCGCATCCTTCGCTACCTGGTCATCAACAAAGACGGCTGCGTCAATCTCTTGAATATCATTGACATTAGTTCTTCGAGTTTTAATGATTTGTTCCCTTTCATGGAATGTCTTCAATGGGACGCTGATGTAACAGTCAATGCCATTTAGTAGAACCAGTATGGTAAATATTGGCACAACTAATTGTTTGATGCTAAATTTTAAGTCAATGATTTTAAATGTCGAACTTAACTTCGTCATGGTAGGCCTATCCTCCACCGTGCACAGTATGGTGCACCGCACAGGAAGAAGCGGCTTCCACTGATAAAATGTATCCCCTACTTTTTGCGTTTCGACAAAGCCTAGGCCTAAGACTTAATTTAAGTACTCGTTCTCAAGATCAACAGATGGCGACAATCGTAGACCTACATAGCACCAGCTTTAAAAATAGAGTACCATGTTGTTTCAGATATCGGATTCCTGTGGTTAATAATTAAGCACAGTGTAATCGCGAAGCGTTCAGTAACATATTAAATATTAATTTCTAAAATAAAAAAGCTTCCTGGTTGTAAGTACTGTATACGTAACCAACATACGTACTTAGGTGACGGCTAACAGGGTGAGGGCAGCAAATATGTTATAAAAGTAACACCACCAAAACAATAGAGAGAGTCAGGGGAGGCGCCAGGATGCGACTTTTTTCCGTACGAAACATTAGCCCGACGAAAGGGGGTGGGGGAGAGGAGATGATGTCAAAACGACGAGAGAAAGTGGGCGTGGTCGAGCGTTGTTCATAATGTTTTGGAAGTGGTCCAGGGACGAAGGCCAGGAAAAAATATGACAATTTAGGGCTTTCAAACGCTTATTTAATTAATTTTACGGTCTCATAATATAAAATAGGACTATAATAATAATAATAATAATAATAATAATAATAATAGTAATAGTAATAGTAATAGTAATAATAATAATAATAATAATAATAATAATAATAATAATAATAATAATAATAATAATAATAATAACAATAACAATAACAATAATAATAATAATAATAATAATAACAATAACAATAACAATAACAATAACAATAACAATAACAATAATAATAATAATAATAATAATAATAATAATAATAATAATAAGGGTCCCTTCGTGTCTGTGCTACCCGGTGAACCGATACCAGCAACTCTCGTCGTCCACCACAGGGCTGCCTATTCCGTTCTGTTTTGTATGCATTATTGTTCGTGTAAATATTCCCAACATAGTGTATAGTACGGTATACGATTATATTTATTGTTGATTAAGATATAGCAGACCTATATTATTCAACAGACACGGTTGCATTACGACATGTAGCCCTAATAAAGTAAAACGTATTAAAAAAGTTAACCGCATGTAAATGTTCTATTGTAATTGTATAGACTAAATATCTATATGTCTTGCTGAGCATCTTAGCAAAAAGTTGAGAGTATAGTCGATGAGGGCAGCAACATGTATAAAGCAGGGGTGGATCCAGAATATTTCAAACGGCATGGGATATTTTCAGAGTAGCACTTATTTCAATACATAATATTTTCATTGGTTGGCTGGGTTGTTTTGGTCGAGATGTCTACGCATAGACTTGTGCTAAATGCGTGACAAATTTATGATCACGCATTTGTTTCTGCAAAATAATTTTTTTCAATCAAAACCACTTTGAAATGCAGACTCGTCCCGCACGATGCGAGACGGTTGGTAACATGCATTGAAATGGTAAAACGGGTGGGGCTCACACGCCCGTCCCCTACTGAATCCGCGTATGTGTAGCTGGCTAACATTACAACTAAAACTAAACTTTCATCGAAGCAATATTAACAACAGAAAGTACAGTGTAATGGGCTGTAGTTGATATAGGCCTATCAGTTGCGCCAGTAAATGTCGTAAATTGTAAGGGTAATCCCTTTAAAATAAAGCACGACAGGAAATAAAGTAATACAAGCGCCATGTGGTAGATGACAGTGCAATTTAATGAATTAATAAGGAGTCAGTAATGTCATGGTGAGCCATGTTTATTATAAAGAATATGGCCCCACGTCTTTAAACAACATTATAATGGAAGCAACACGTAGGCTATACTCTATCACCAATGGTAATAGTTTTACATATAGGCCTAACTATACCATATTAGGCACAAGTAGATTGGAAAATCATGTAGGCCTACGTTTAAAAGAAAATAATTTCTTTAAAGCCATAAATACTAATAAACCGAGCTCTTGTAGATTATTAATTGTTTTTGAGCAGAAAGAGTCATTCTATATCTTGATACATATTTGATCACAATAAGACGTTTAGTGGGGCATGGAGTAGCTCCGATGAGGAGTTGTAGAAACACTCAGCTGATTGGGTATGGTACTGTATTATCTTTTTTGTATGGGCGGCCGTTAGGGTCAATATACTCTACGGCCTCTATTAGCATACAGAAATTGTGTTCTTTATAAGATGTCCTCATTTAACACTTGAATCATATTACATTTTACCATAGATTAGTTTCTAGCGATTATTTATATTTATTTTTTGATAATACTTGGCCTTTTATTCATTAAAAAGGTTTTGTTAAATGGTAACAGATCACAATAAAAAAAAAATATAAAACGAAATTATAGTATGGTAATATGCTATGTTTTTAAAGCTATGTTGCGCTAATATGATATTGTTTTTGCATATGTACATCATTGCATTTAATTGTTTCACTATTAAAACAGTATTCAAAAGAATTAATTACAAATTGCATAGGCCTAAATGATACGTGTTACTTAAAATCGAAGCATGACTAGGCATGCAATTTAATTACTTCAGTATCATTAATAGGCCTATAGGCCTATTGTAAATAATAGTTGACGTTTTCCTACATCCGACGTTTTCCCACAAGTCGCGAGTTAACATTTCATTAAATACAATACTTATATTGTCAGCTATTAAATTATTACATTTAAAATATTAATAGCTAAATGATTAAAGTAATGTAATTATGAAGTAAGTTACTAGTGATTATTTCATATTTTGTCAATGCTAGGTCTATTGCAAATATAATTAAATAGTACCGTACGTAATACACCCGGCACATAATTAGTTACAACCGTTATTCAGCGCAGTAGCAAGCAATCCAACTATGTAGGGTTCTCTTAACTCTTGGATAGAGAGAAGCAATGCAACCGAGTGCCTTGCCAAAGTAGCAAAAAAGTGGCCATCCCAAATTCAAAACTTTGACGTCTCGATTGGGAGCATCATTACGTCTGCATTACATGCTCCTAGCTGTGATACCAATTTTTAATTCACGAATTAGCAAACTGCACCAATTGTTCTTTGTATAATGTATGTACATGACAATTCCTAGTAGCTGTTAAATCTATAGAATTAATAGACTGGTAGAGTTTAATGGCCGGCTGATTCCAACCTAGCACTGTCCACTGCATTCTCTGGCAGCCCTTTCCTACAGCATCCTGGGCAACTTTCTTCATCAAAGATCGCCCGTATCCTCTTCCTCTAAACTCCTCCGTGATATAAAGGTTGACCATGTAGACCAGTTTGCCCTTCATGATGCTGTAACCGTAGTAGAATAAGCAGTAACCAATCACCTCACTTTTGTCATTTTCTGGTCGTTTATACGTTGCAACGAGACACGATGCCATTTTTTCTGGCTCAAATATATCCTTCTGAAGTCGTTCCGTTGTGTTTTCTAGTTCCTTCTCTGTACCTTCAAAGACTGTTAGTTCAGTAATCATTTTCATTAATATAGGACAATCATCTGGCTTTGCATCTCTTATGCTGAAACAAACGTTCTCCATGATTCCGTTTGTCCTGCTTGATGACTCGTCGGTGAATGAGTTGTTGACAGATGTTCAGGATTAGGTGATTCTCGCTAATTAATAAATAAATAAATACTACATTTTAACAAAGCGTAATTACTCATAAGCCTGTTCCTTCTCAGTTATAACTGATGAGGATTTATACTCGATAGTACCATTTTTTTTTTAAGTACACGTTCAAGTAACATATTGCTCAATATTGCATACCATGGGGTTAATATTGTATTAAGAATTAGCATAACTGCAACGTGTTCAGTAAAAATATTAACTTAAATTTAGAAATTAAAAAAGGGCTGGCACTCTCAATCACAATTTAGGTGTTGGTTATGCCTGGCACACATTTATACATATTGTTTACGAGGATGTGTAGATTTTTGCTGTGTTGACTGAGCGTAAAATATAACGGGTGTTCCCCAGAAAAGGCCAATCGAGGAGGGCCTAATGAAATCCGAGCCATGGGTTAGGCATTCGTGGCTGACCAAATCTACAATAAATAAATACGAACAAATGTCCACACTTCACTAGTATTTACATATATTATCACAAGGGGAAGTCGAATGGCGTTTGCATCTTCCCGGATAAAGTTCGTCCAGCTCGGGTACTCCTGCTAACATTGCGATTTGGCCCCTCAGATTCAACAACTTCTGGAAATATTTCTTTGGTGATGTCGTTAGTACCGTTATATGCGTAGTCGTAAACCAGTTCCTCAAGCTCGTCCAATACAATGTATTCCTAAAATGCAAAAAAAAAAAAAAAATCAAAAGAATGAAATAGTGTTTACGGATTGATAGACTAAGAAAACTAAAAGCCGGAAACGAAACTTTAAGTATAATAATGATGATGATGTTGATGATAATTTTGTGCATAAACGTTGTCAATTGTATATCGTACAACTAGATAATACAAAAAATATTTAGGCCTATATATCACTTACCCTACATTCAGATAGCATTATTTCTAATTTGCGTTTCAGCTCTGAAAAACTTGGACGAAATTCGGGAGTTGCATTCCAACATTCTAACATTATTTGATATCTAAGAAGAATAAAAAAAATATTATAAAGTACTGTATCAAAGTAATTTCACAAGAGAGATGTCAAAGCCGTTGCGGCGTTATCATATGATCATTTTAATCAGACAATCAGCGGTGGCGCCGAAGGGCCGACGAAGGTCCTCGGTCGACGGCCCGGAATAAAAACTCCCTTGTATGGGTCACGATGGAGAGCTTTGGCTTAGTGTGGTCCAAAATGTGCTTTTAGGCCACAATGGATTGTAAAAATAACGTTATTTGGATAGACAAATTATTATTTTTTTCTAATTGATGTATACACTGCAATGAAATTAACATCACGTGACAACTATAAGAAAAGTTGTGTTCTGATTTTTATTCGTGCCCTGTCGGCATTTGTATATTCAAGCCCGTTTGGTTAGGGTGTCTATAAAACGAAGACCGAAGACCAAAAAACGAAGACCCCTATTTTTTCTCTTTTATTTTGATAATAATACACCAGGCTGTCACAATATCAAAATTACGATTTTTTTTGGGCGTCAATTTTCAAGGGTCTTTGTTTTATAGACACTCTATATGGGTGTCTACAAAATGAAGACACAAGCAGGCCTGAACCGAAGACCCGAAAACGAAGACCTCCAATTATTTCTCACTTATCTTATTGAAAGTATTTCAAAATCATCACAAGGCAGTTGCGAAGTACCTATTTCATTATTTCATCGGAAAAAATGAGGAATATCAAGAAGTACTTAAGGGTCTTCGTATTATAGACACCCTATATATATGGGTGTCTACAAAACGAAACCCAAGACCCAAAAAACGAAGACCCACATTTTTTTTTTCTCTCAATCGTGATGAAAATAATATTTTTAAATCACTTCATTCTATGTATAGTATTCGTCATTTCAGCACATTATTGCCAGAATCTGAGTCAATTTAATTAATTACTCTTATTCCAGTTCAAAATAGGCAGCTGTCTTGGCGCTGCTACTCTCTAAACGAAAGTAAGGCTTTGCCTTGCGGTACGCGTATTTTTTTTTTGGGTGGGGGTGGGGGAAGGGGAGGCATACAAAAACCTTGAATATTTCATTCATAAACTGGTTTCATGTTAAAATACACAGTAGGGATATTGCATAGTGACGCATATGTGCAGCATCGGTCATTTGGTAGTGACACCAACATGGGATGGATGAGATAATTAAGGGTTTTCGTTTTATAAACACCCTATAATAAATGGGTGTCTACAAAACGAAGACCGAAGACCCAAAAAACGAAGACCCATATTTTTTTTCTCTCAATCGTGATGAAAATAATCTCGTAATTATGATTTGTGACAGCCTGGTTAGTATCATTTTAAAAAAGAGAAAAAAATGTGGGTCTTCGGTCTTCGTTTTGTAGATACCCATATAGGGTGTCTATAAAACGAAGACCCTTAAGTATTTCTTGATATTCCTCATTTTATTCCGATGAAATAAAGAAATTGGTACTTGGCAACTGTTTTATGATGATTTTGAAATACTTTTAATAAGATAATTGAGAAATAATTGGAGGTCTTCGTTTTTCGGGTATTCGGTCTTCGTTTTGTAGACACCCATATAGGGTATCTATAAAACGAAGACCCTCGAAAATTGACGCCCAAAAAAATTCGTAATTTTGATTAGTGACAGCCTAGTGTATTATCATCAAAATAAAAGAGAAAAGAGGGGTCTTCTGGGGTCTTCGATCTTCGTTTTATAGACTCCCCGTTTGGTTAAGCGATATGTAGGCCTATACAGTGCACCCTCCATTTCGAGACCACTGTAATCCCGAGACCCATCTAATATTCGAGACCACTTTTCCAAGAACCAAATAAGAATTTTTTTACTTTTAACACAAATCTAACCCTTTAATAAAAGTGGAGACTAGATCCTGAGATCACCAAAAATCAGGTCATAAATGTGGTCTGGAATGCCAAATGTATTTATAAGAACAATAAAATTTTAAAAAGGACAAAATAATTCTAAAAACCTATAAAATGAGATAAAATAAAAAAATAATTTGTTCCATTTATAAACGTTCCAGTTTTAAAAAGTGACGACCGTTTGTAGCATAAAAAACATCTCACTCGACCACGTAGGGAAAAATTTATATCTTAGTCATCCAGGATATTATTCTCTTTACGAATGGAAAACGTAAAATCTCTCTACTGCAGGATCTATCGTTTGATCAGATCTGTTCCGTCATTGCGACTATGAGGTACTTAAGTTAAAGTGGTCGCGTAATTGAATAGCGCCCTCACATAACTTAAACCTCATAATGCACAAAGAGTGTTTCTCCTCTAAACACCAACTCAACTACTTTTTACAGTATCGTAGTAGGCCTGTATTTCAAGATATAAATGTATACTTACTTTCATTGAGGCGAGGTATGCCATGCCGTTAGCAACCTCGTACGCGTAGCGCAACAGGTCTGTTGGACTCAGATAAGTCTTCATGCTAGTACGATTTGACCCCTCATTCTTTTGTCGACTTGCTCGCAGATGACCTAGTAAATTCCCGTTTGGTAAGTAGTCCATTATAACGTAAAGTGGTTCTAAAGATATAATAGTAAACTTTTTTTCTTTAATTGAAACGTTCTGTTGTGTGCGCACAGTCTTGTGTTTTAATAAATATTCCAACTAGTGCTGAAGTACTAGTAACAGGTGCTTTGTTTTACTTGCTTTACATACTACTTTTATTAAGATAGAAACATTCAGAATATTAAATAAATAAATGGATGCTTTAATAGTGTTTTAATATAACAATTCAATTCAGTTTAATTTATTTTATTGCCGTACGTGCCATCTATGGCCAATATCCGCACAAACACAATGAATATACTTGAAAAAAAAAATCCACACAGCAATGTTTCAATAATATATAACTTGTGTTTGACAGTGACCCTATTATAACCAATTCCAGATTATTCGTCCTCTTTATTAATTCTAAAAGTTGATTAATCCGTGGTAGACTTAGCCTTATTAGGCTTAGTTCAGTTTTCTGTATTTGTGCATTTTTGCGTGGCGCACAGCTAGCTAAAAGCAACTTGCATGCATGCGCTTTTAAATGATTGTTTCCAGGGCCAGACATACCCTTTTCTGTGCAACATCCCAATAGTACGACAATATTCGGATGAACTTCAAGCAACTTCATAACCCTCAGTTCCTTCAACAAGTCCTGTCTGTCCACTTCTGTAGAATTTTCTGATTAAAAATATAATTGTATAATATAATAATATATAATATGTCGTTCTTATATAGCGCTTCATGCCTTTACAAGGCCTATAAGGCGCTTCACATTACTACCCCGGTCATTGGATCAAACACATATGGAACACATTGAAACACCAAATTAAATTATTAAATGAAATTATATTATCATTCCATAAATTGCAGCTAGTAATCAGCGCAGGTTGTGTTGGAACCTACCAGGTACCCACTTGTACTCCTGAGTGGAGAGAAGCAAGTGCCTTGCCCAAGGACACAAGCGATTTGCACAGCCAGAGTTTCGAACCCCCGACCTCAAGGTTGAGAATCCAAGCCACAACCGGTGCGCCAACCGCTCCTACAGTATAGTGTATGCATAACAGTTTATGAATTTCCATTGTTTTAGTCCTAAAAATAAATATCAAATATTTGGACCGAAATATATTATTTTCAGAAATAATCATCTAACGTAAAATTATTTTCAACTTGTTGTTTATCGTCATTTGATAGATCTTCAACCAGGAAAGTTTTTTACAGTACTAATAAAATGATTCCTATTTAGAGACGCCATAAATAAGACAATATTTTTTTCGGAATATTTAACAAATAGGTCTACTTATAATTAATAGTTAAATGCAAGCTACAACAGAAAGCTCTAAATGTACGGTAATACTCATGCGCACAACTACCTTTTAACATCTTGACGGCTACTGTTGTGACGTAACCCGGTCGAATTAAGTCTTTCGCTTCAGCTTTTACTACTTTGCCGAATGAGCCGTGGCCAATCGTTCTACCTAGTTTTAGTTTATCCCTTGAAAACTCAAAATTTCTTCTTTTACCACATGTCAAATTCTTAAACTGCATCGAAGGAATGTTAACGTCTACGTAGGCCTGTTGGAAATGTATAATTTATTATAGAGTAATAGAAATATTATTAATTATATACTAAAACAATCTTGTTATTGCATTTGAATTATATTTATGGAACAAATATTTTTTCTTACTCTGCTAATAGTTTTCAGAAGAGATGGAATACTTTCAACACTTGAACTGCCTGTATGGAATCTATATAGTTGTTCTTCCTGAAAAAAAACCCCAAAATATTTGACTAATCAAATCAAAAGGTTCACCTTTGATGATTATAATAATAATAATAAGAAGATGAAAGTATATTGAATATAAGTAGAATGACATACGAACCATTATATTCACATTTAACTTATCGTTTCATAAAACTTGTCTTTTACCTCATCGTTTATTGGAAATGGTCTGGACTAATAGGCTTCCTGATGCTCATTATTTTTATTCACAAATCATTTCTTATTATTTATGTGATGTCGAGTATCGAATCAATCAATCGAATCAATCAATCAATCAATCAATCAATCAATCAATAGACTAAGGTCTATCAGTTATCATCTCAATTAGTCTAATCACAATTAGTCTAACATCTGTTTTTTTTTTATTTTGATGTTGAAATTATGGATACATTAACGTATATTATAAAATTTAGTTTAGATTTTGGCATTAGACGCCAAAGGGCAAACTCTTACCTCAAGAACACGCCATTTTCTCTTTCGTATTGCAATAATTGCGAGGACTAAAAGAACTCCAAAGGCCATTGCCATGAACAAGCTGACAATCGGAATAGCTATCTTCAGCGCAAGTGTGGTTCGATCCTTGCTATCGGCTGGATTTATTGTTACCACTGGAAACGTTGGCAACACAGAACCTACGACGGAGTGGCTAATGGTTACTTAATTACATTACACGGGTTGGCACGGTATCATTAGTACCGAAATATTTTATATAATAAAAAGACAGTTCAGAGATAGCGCGGGATGGTGCGAAGAATAGAGTGAAATTGATGGCCATTCTTAAGTCTATGTTTACGCTAAAGCGTAGATATCGCTTCAGATCCCAGTTTCAATTGCGTCAAAAAGGGAAATACTCTTTGAACATTTTTTTTGGAGATTAGCCCAAGATTAAAACAAGTGCTACACGTAAAGGAAATATTAACAATACTGTATTATTTCATATGGCATCAGTAATTATCTTGGCTGAATCACTAATTAAATTGGTGGTATTAGGTCATTTCCTTTATTTTTGCTGCATATTATTTCATTGAAAACTTATACTCGTATTTTTTTCTGAGTCACCGTGGAACCTATAATATGGTAAGCGCGTGGTTTACATAGAATTGCTACACTTTCGCTACAGCGTTTTCACTCAAATCGTTGCATCGCGTATTCTCTACGCAATCAACCGACAACCCACTGTCGCCGATATGAGTCGTCTATAGCGTGTAGCGATTTCATGTAAGCAGGATTTAGATCACGTGTCTTACGTGACACATTAGGTTGTTTTTTTTTGTTTTTTTAAGTTTTTGGTTTACATTTTAGATCCATCGCTAGGTATTGACTAACGTATGACGCCAATGACACAAAATTAATGTCCAGTAAAAAATATACATATCGGAATCTGTTAATACTAAAACCTTCTATAATGCATTTTCAAAAGGGTACACGGTGCATTAATAGTATTCAAATGTACACATGGTACCTACTTATTGGGCTTACCTCCACTAGATGTAAATGCAGTTCGTGCTATTGAAAAGTTACCCGGACCAGCTGGGTTACCTGCAGCCAGCCGTACTCTATATGGTTTCTTCGGCTCTAAGTTTGTCAATTTTAGAACTTTGGCTAGAAGAGGCCGAAAATCGTAAACTGTTATGACAACTAAAAACTGTATAGAGTGCATAAATTATCATGTGTTTGTTTAGTTTTCACACTGTCTTTACATAGTAGGGCTCTCCTATAATCTGTGACGTGATTGTAAACTCCCCTTCCTGTTTGTTAAATATAGGTTTATACAGGCAACACGAGTTCCCCAGCTAGCAAGCGGTCAGTAAATCATCACAAATCATGATTTATAGGTATAATTTCAGAGTGATATATATATATATCTAGATGTTAGTTTAACTCTTTACCTGGCTGGATATTTCTATATAACACCTCCCCTTCGTCGACAATACGGTATTCAACTCGGTAGTACGTTATTCTCAAGCCACCATCATTTTTAGGTGGCCTAAATACCAGCTTTATAGTTGTCATTGTTGTTTCTACCTCTTCCAGTATCGGCTCACTTGGTCTACCTGTCGAACAGTCAACATGATAGCAAATCAGGCTCAATGGGCTCAACACGAAACATTTAAGCTCAACCTGCTGGTTGAACACACGTTAGAATTAACAATGACGATTATTACATCATTATCATCATCAACATTATATCATTATCACCATCATCATCAGCAGCAGCAGAGGCAGCAGCAGCTACAGTTAGAGTCTGACTAAAAATAATATTAATTCGTTAATATTAACTTTATTATTGTTAATATTACTATTGCAATTATTATAATATGTTTATTAAAGTACCGTAGTCGTTTGTTTTTGCAGAACCAGTATTTCAAATATTGCTTTTCAAAAAATACTAAAAAAAAACCAAAAAAACCAAACAAACAAACAAAAACAAAAACAATCGCTAATACATGAATAGTATACGAATAAAAACCTACTGTATAATAGTAAAGCAGAACTAACTAGGCTATACGTTAAAATGATATTTATATAAATTCTGTCGCTCAACGTAGTATAATGCATACAATATAAAATGATCAGTCACATGTTAACGCTCGACTGTATTCATATATAAAAAAAAACTAAAGACTAAACCATGCAAAAAGGTTTTCATCAGAATAAGCTTTCACACAATCAATATTTAGTGTACTATGAGTGTTTGAAGCCTAAGTTGGAAAAACTTGGCACGAGTAGGCGGTAACGATCTCAAAAAGGAAGCACTAATTAGAATGAATACCACGACACAGCCTTCAATTACAACTCAATGCTGAAAGCCAATTCCAATAATAATATGCAATGCCTTTGGTCGTTTCGAGTACGAAACTCCTCTTTTCATCATGTACACGTATAATATAAGCCTATATTATTAATTTAATTTGTATTGGTTATTCCTAAAACATATCACAACAAAAAGCTTATTAAACCTAAATATACCATTATAGCTACCGCACATAGGACGGACGGATTATCTGTTGATGTTTTTGAAGGTTTGTGAAGTAAAGGACATTTTCAAAATACATACATTAACAAGAAATATATAAGCCTATTTCCTGTTGTGTGACCATACACACCCAAAAGGTCTGTAACATTGATTTCATGATAATCGTAAAAATAAAATACTCAAACGAGGTGAGCCGGATAAACCATAATTTGTAATTGTTATGTATTATAATTGAGGTGTTTTAGATATTTAGGATCCAAAATAATAAGAATCGTTTTAAATTTACACGACGTCGGTTTTTAATTATCTTTGATCTGATGTTATGAAAAGGCACTTATATATCAGCATTCTTGACAAGTTGAGTATATTACTGAAAGGTCCACTGATTAATCTCAGATAAGAAAGTATAATACATACTCCAAGTATTGAAATACACGCCATCGTGTTGGGATTCAATATTTCGACATTAATTATGTCATCATCAGGAATCAATCATGATGATGACATAATTAATGTCGAAATATTGAATCCCAACACGATGGCGTGTATTTCAATACTTGGAGTATGTATTATACTTTCTTATTTGAGTATATTACTGTTGGTATTATGATGAGAGGTTTTAATCACCAAAAAAACAACATCAGTCATATAATTATTGCATCACGAGTATTTTTTTAATTATTATTTTATAGTTTAGATCCGGTGTCACGTGACGTTTATTTCCCTGTCCTTGACTGTAACATTGTAGTGTTTTACACTAAAATAAGTGGACAACCCCGCCCCCGGAATTCAACTGTTCTACTGTTGTTGAATATAGAAATAATAATTCTATGAGAAGAAAGAAGTGTAGTGATACATAAAAGTTGGGGAAAATCGGAACTAAACAGCTAGCCAAGTAATGAAAGACCTCTGATACATCAAAAAGGGAAAAAAATCCTCTATTCAGGATGCACGCGGCTTCCCCTATACTGTACTGTATCACAAAAGACCCCTATCTTCAATCAATCTATCGAAAATTATATGAAATGATTAGCCATAATTTAGTAAGTAAGGAAGTACCAGAATAAAGTAGGAAGTCACTAGAATAACAAGAACATATGCTGTCAAGAATTAACTGTTTAGTAAATTCATACATTTCTATATTTATAGTAATTGTAATAATTAAGTGACCACAAGGCCTTGGAATTATAAATAAGCCTTCTGCTTCAGCAAAGTGGCAATCCACACACAAGATGCTCTATAATTATAAACTAGTCTCATTTTGAGGCTAATGGAGTGGAGTTGTAATTATCGTATTTTATGTATTTGTTTGTTTGTTTATTTGGATTTATGTTTGCAACAAGAAAATAAAAAATGAAACAATTTGTCTATCTGCAGTGCATTGTTACTCAGTTAACATTCAAACAGATTGGTTAAATGTATTCTTAATTACGTTTCCGAAAAATCAGATCTTAATTAGAACTGATATCACAGCCACCCAATTAAACAACTTGATTGCAATTTTCAATCGTTGATTCATAACCCGTTTCCTTAAACATTGATAAATAAGAGAAGATGGCAGATTCAAAGAACAATGGCGTCTGAATAATGTTCAAACAATAAATAATTATTAGTAATTGGTACGTGCCATAGTACAATGGTACTATTACCGCTAATGTTAATATAAACATTACAGTATAATTCCAAAATATGTCTCATTTCAGCTCCCGTGAGTTTTTCGTCAAATATGTGTGTGTGTGTGTGTTTAAATATATATCAGGGAGTAATTTCACTGTTCCCTGATATATATATATATATATATAATATTTAATATATATAATATTTAATATAGATATATTATTAGTACTGTAGTATTATATTATTATAAATGTCTTCATTTTATTTAAATCTGATAATGTTTACATAGTTGAGTAATAAGTATTATTAATTGTCCTATTATTATTATTATAATTAGGTCTATTGTCTTTAAGATTACAATAAAATTATTTAATATAATTTTAGCTGCGGATAATAATGATATTACAAACTTAAGGCCTGTTTGCCTTAAACGATAAAAAGCTACAAAGCAATTGTTCATATAAAAAATAAAAGAAATAGGCCTAATAGAAGTTTTCACACTAACACGATTCGATAACGATTTATCGTGTACCGTACTCGCGCGAATAAGCGCCCGGGCGCTTAAAATATTTTTTGCACTTTCTGAAGGGCGCTTATTCAAACGGGGCGCTTATTTGAACGGGACGCTTATAAAAACAGAGTGGAAATTGGGGGGGGGGCGCTTATGGAAATAGATGAAAATCGAGGGGTTCTTATGGAAAATTATTAAATTTAAGAGGCACTTTTGAATGAAAAGGACATTACGAATGGTGGTTAGGCGGAAAAAATAATCCTCCAGAGAACATGGCTCACGACAAGAATGCAATTAATGGTGGTGGGTAGTGGTTAGCTTGTTGGACATCGGCCGATTGAGATTAACAGGGTGGCAGGATCAATGTATTTTTTCTTGAAAACTCAGATGAGAATGTGTTAAATGTCGGAAAAAGAAAAAGAGGATAGACAAATATGTAAAAAGTGTAAAGTTGGAAATATACTGTCTGTCCAGGGATCGGAGCTCTCATGTCCAAGAGAAATATCCTCATTTTGGTATTGACATAAAAAAAGAATTTGATTTTATTTGTATACACGATAAATTGTTATCGAATCCTGCTAGTGTGAAAACTTCTCTTATTTCTTTTATTTTTTATAGGAACAAATTGCAGCTTTTTATTGTTGATCCTTATCGTCATAGTGTAAACAGGCCTTTACGGTGTTACAAATCGTCATCAGAATGATCTTTCTCTTATACACATCTAGATGTGTATAAGAGACAGCTCCAATATTCTATGTATACCTATACTAATTGCATGAAATAATTAAATTTCATAAAGTTATTTGCCTAATATCAAGAAACACGAATGTCTTATTAAACGCGTTACACACAGATACAACCTTTTATTTAAATAATAATGCAACTCACAAATTTCATAAAGTTATTTGCCTGATATCAAGAAACACCAACGTCTTATTAAACGCGTTGCACACAGATAAAACCTTTTATTTTAAATAATTCAACTCACAAGTTGGTCTTCCAGCTGTCTCTTATACACATCTAGATGTGTATAAGAGACAGTTATAATACTTTGTTATAATTTCATTTGGTAGGTCATCACAGAATTATCATTGGTTGTACATTTAAATAAGAAACCAATTGCTATGCAAGTATCTGATAGATAATGTAGAAGGTGTTGCCATTCATAAGTTTAGAATATTACCTCCGGGGCCATCCACACTCAACATCATGACGTCAGAGATTGGAGGCTTTGATGACATCATCGTGCATTTCCAATCCCCACTGTCGTCTAGTCTAGCACTACGAATCACCAATTCCCAAGTCCCACGAACGGGGTTTAAGACTATATAACGGCTACTGCGTTCCTTGTAAGTTATTTTCGTGTTATTTGTAATCTATTTAAAGCATAAGTATAGTTATATCAATGATTACGTTTGTTTAACGCTATATATATAAAATACTGACTTAAAGAATCATTGTTTTTATACACACATATTTATATACACCTACATATTATATGCACCTTGATGTGTACATAATAATGTACTTTTGTTATCGCTGGATTTGGGATGGCATGCCTCATTATAACGATAATGAGTACTCAGATACATATTTTTTCTTTTGTAACATTAAGTTTTATTTCGATTCTCCAATATTCTATGTATACCTATACTAATTGCATGAAATAATTAAATTTCATAAAGTTATTTGCCTAATATCAAGAAACACGAATGTCTTATTAAACGCGTTACACACAGATACAACCTTTTATTTAAATAATAATGCAACACACAAATTTCATAAAGTTATTTGCCTGATATCAAGAAACACCAACGTCTTATTAAACGCGTTGCACACAGATAAAACCTTTTATTTTAAATAATGCAACTCACAAGTTGGTCTTCCAGTGACCACCTGACATCGTAGGGTATGTTTCTGCTGGTTATTCGACATGTGATTTTAACTCTTTGGCCTTTGGCAACTCTCTGATCCGGTGTAACGTCCACAGTCTGTGAAATTGTGTAGTGGAGGCCTGTTTGGAAATAAAGCAATTCATACTAGTGACCCCACTCCAAGATATAGAGGACATAATTGTAATTTTTGATAAACGTTACACGCAAAAACACTACATCCTTTCTCCTACTGCATATGCATATTAAACGTTATCAGAAAATGAAACTGCGTGTGGGGAAAAAGTCGACCCAGCCGGGATTCGGACCCGGGGACCTTCTACAGTCTATACAGGCCTTAACAACATGGACAACTGAAAATTCGTTTGAAATTCAAATCCAATGAAATCAACTGATTGTTCACATTCTTTCATGTATGCGTAGTTGAACAGCAATAGTATACTCAATGCACAAATAACAGAGATCAGTATGACACCCCCCCCCCCTCTTTTCTTAAGCATTTCAACGACAAGACGGGTTCTCTTAAAAGAAACTTTTTAAATAATTCATAGTACAATACAAAGATAAACCCTACGTGTGCATTGGCGTAGCTAGGTGATGATGGGCCCCAGTGCAAAAATAATTACCAGGCCTTTTGATTGAAGCTTCAATTACGGCCGTCAAGCCTATGACGGCCTGCGTCGTGCGGCCGTCTTCTCTCTTCGCTCCTTGTGAGCATTAGACAACAATCAGCGGATGGCGCGCCGTCCGCTTATTTTTGGTGGAGTCTGAACGGATCGCGTCGTGATTAAAAACGATCCGTTGGGCGCGCATTGTGGCGTTGCGTTCGCTAAAAGATCGCGTCGGCCGACGACATTCGGGCGCAGTTAGTGCCCGGCGGCAGGAATGGCAGACTATGATGACAGCAGATACGGCACGCACTGTAACTCAATGCAGTTGAACTCCTCAAATAGGCCTCCCTTATTTCTGATTTTGTATTTTCTTTTATGCGTGTATTAAATAGATAGCATATGATGATGCCTTGTTCTTTGGATTTTAAGACGGTCCATTTTTTTTATTTGGTATTCTATTATGACTAATGACATATCTAGCAGTGACAGGAAACACGTGTCTGGAATACACCTCCGCTTTTACCAATTTGTAAGCACCATAATTTTGTATTGTATTATACCAGATTCACCAAACACACACATATCCTAAGCGAATTATGGTACACAATTTACATAAAAGTCCTGTAATACTAAGTGTATATAGTTGTATGTAGTTGTGGCAGTACCCCGGATGCACTCCAATTTGAAATAGGCTTATGTATATAGTATTGTAATGATATAAAAACTATATGAGTACTGTTAATATTTTTTCGCCGAAACTATAAAAAAAATATATAAGAAATTGTTTAGTATGTTAACGGAAAGTAAAAACTGTTACCTTTTGTCAGGTCTATTTTAAATTATTTTACTGAATATTAAGTACCATTATACTCAAAATGATAATGATGATAATATGCCCAACAATAACATAATCAATGACAGTGACATTAACAATAACACTAACAATAATAATAACAATAATAATAATAATAATAATAATGCAATAATAATAATATAATTATAATAGTAATAATTATGATGATAATAATAGGTCAAATGATGGTGTATGTCTATCTAGAGAGCATTGGGATAAATCGTATGTCTCTTTGGTTTTACATGTAACTGTAATGTGCTGAAGAGATCGTAATTTTCATTATTTCTGTTTGTATAGAATATTAAGTAAAAAAAACATTACACAAGCCATGCCAACTTAAGATAACGATGCAAAATAATTTAATGTACTCGTGCTTTTATTATGTGGACCACTATCTCATGTAACATATTCTTATATCACACTTTGATGCGTTTTAGTTGAATGGAATTTTTAGTAGGCATATGCCTTAAATATCCGGCTGAATTTATATCATTCTTACCTTGAAAGCATAAAATTCCAATCAATGAGTAGAATCCTATCGCCATGATGGGTGGGATTATTTTATTTCTACTTGGCAAAACTTCCGCCGCATCTAATGGGTTGAACTTGCAATATGTATATAGAACTCACATCTACTTAACGGTTGTTTCTATGTTGATCATAGTAAGCGCTATTCAAATGCAGTCTGACGCCTTCATGACTCTAACTCGCAGATTTCCGCAAACGGGGCTTTTCAACTAATGTATGTAATTTGCCGGAAGTAGTGATAATACGTCATAACTTTTTAAATTGTTGACAGTATTTTCAAGAAGTTCAAAAACTATACTATTAAAACGATTAATATATATATTGATAAAGTTCAATTCCAAATAATTAATATTGTTTCAAAAAATTAAAAACTTAAAAAATTGAAAATGTAAAAAGTATTATTCATAAAATCCCAACAGTTCATAGTTAATTCCGGTCAAACTAAATAAATGTTTGTCGATAGAGGGCAGTATACTTTAATACAAAAAATGAATAGAAATAATTACAGTGACGTGTGGCAATACAAAACACTAACGGGTTGACGCAGATATTTTTTTCATAATATTATAATATTCCAAGAATCTACCAACAGCTTTTGAAACAAAGAATTAAACTATAAAATGAATTTTAAATTATTTCAGCTTTTCTGTTCTTGATAGAATTATACTGGAACGTTGGAAAGACAGCTATTAGTTGATTACAGGTTAGTAAACAATATCTTGTGGATGACTCCAAATGTAGAAATATCACTTCTGTCCGATTAATCAGTCTGTTCCCGAGAAATTTACTTTCACTGACCTTAAAATGAAATATACAATAACAATTTAATTTCTAAGAGTTTTCGCTAAAATATTAACACAAAAAAAATAGATGTCAGCATATATGACTTAGAAACTTTATGAAGTTAATTATTCCATATTTAAATACACTTAGGACATGGTATTATACATCTCTAATTTAATGCTAAAACCTTTTGATAAATATAGGCCTCAGAGAAAGTTAAAAAAAAAAAGCTTATCATGGCATGTATAGATTATCCAAATAAACGACTCATTTATATATTTGCATTTTGTGTATATGTGTATTTTACATAATACATTATTTTAAATCTTGAATTGGTTCCTGCGATTTGATTAAAAACTCAGAGAACTATTGTATATTGTCTCGTTTCTGCCAATATAAAATCTTGAATATTGAATCATTTTTTTTATCAACACCGATCTATTATATAAAATATCAACATAAGTCAAACACAATTTCTATGTTGTCCCAATGACTTACCTTCTTCAACAATAACGTTAATAGAACAGCTTAAATTGTTTCCAATGCATGTGTACGTTCCAGCATCAGAATAATCGACATTGACTATTAGGATGTATTTGTAGAAGTAAAAATAACCGCTAATCCAGTCTACATTAGATCAAATGTAAAGAGTAAACGTGTATAGTGGAAATAATTTTTTTTTAATTAGTTGACTAATTTCTAATGGAAAAAAAATCATGTTAGTTGACATTTTGAAAATGTAAAACAGTGCGGAATGCTTAACGTTGACACTCCAAGTAATTTTGTGCCTCGCTGGTGATAACCTTCAAAAGCTAAGCGGTACTCATAGTAGGCCTATACATAGTGTTCATTTAAGCTCTTACGCGTTAGCATTATTAAAGTGTTTTGTTCACTAGAAAGTTAAGCACCTGTGAATTTAATGCTAAACACATCTATCCCCTAAGCACATTATTTGCTATGCCACCATGCCCGGAAAACACCTTAAGCTTTTAAACGTCCCACCCAGTGTTTAAACTCCATACGTTGCTTTGCAGTGCGGTTTTGCAATGTTTGTAGCATTATTAGGCTAACTTTTTACCTGGTAATGAATAGCCATCTTTCTTCCAGGTAACAGAGTAGAAATCTAGTTTACATATGATGATTCCGAAATACGTATTCACGATTAGTCTTTGAGTTTCTATAGTAAAAAAAATAAATGACAATATTTGTTTTCGCTTCAATTTAGTAGACATTCATTTCTTTCATTGAAAACAGAATACACTGAATGTGAAATACATAATAAGTTGTTATAACAAAGAACATAATAATTACAGCGATCGTTAATTCATTTACTAATTTAACAAAACAACGAAATTTCTCATTTAACAAATAAAAAACTAAACATTTTAAATACTTACCACACTACGACAATTTAGACGTCAGCATAAAAAAAAACTCATTGTCTTTAAAATTTTTAATAATCAGGTACTACCAATATATCTAAAGAATAGTTCTTATAATTTTGGTAATATTAGATATCTTAAATTAAAAATTGCTAGAAATAAATTGTATTAAACTCCTTTTTTCCATTCCGTACTCCAAATTTGGAGTAATTCACAAGATAATAAAACAACATTTGAATTCCTCCCCCCCCCCCCCCCCCCCCATTCTACAGATTCCATATCCTTTTGGGTTGATTTGTTCTTTTTGATGATCAAATTAATATTTTAAAAAAGTATTAAGAAAAAACGTAATCATACGACGTTTCGCTGATATTCTTTCTATCAAAATATACATCGGAGAAACCAGGAGAGCCTTCCAAACCAGGAGAGCCTTCCAAACCAGGAGAGCCTTCCACACCAGATTACATGAACAGATGCCAAAAATAACACAGTAGGTGTCACAACTCGAACACCAGTTCCTTGAGTACCACCACAATTCATGAATCAGTCATAACAGACCATGCCTCTCGCACAAACCATATCGGGATGCAACGACCTTAGTCAAAGAAAGTTGATGGTTCTGGTTCTGGTGGGTAAAGCTCCCGATCTCCTAAGGACTCTAAAAATATGAATATAACAGGAGGGGTGGAAATAGTGTCGAATTGGAAAGGTCCACCACCGTAGTTTAAGACGCGCAGCGTCAGGCGTCAGTCATGAGCAGGCTTGCCGTTACCGACTCAGGTCGCATTAAACCTTTGAGAGACGGGTTCATGAATCTCTTCAAAATCACAGGGACATAAAACTTTAATTATTTACGACGACCTCATCCATTGCAGGGGGACTCCCGAAGACTACTATTCGTTATAACAGCAAGACGACTGATGGCGCACTTCGTTCGCAACACATGCGGGGTTATACTATGACCAAGCTGTAACACCTCAGTTCACTTGAAAATGCTGATAGAATATCAGCGAAACGTCGTGTGATTACGTTTTTCCTTAATATTAATTTGATCATCAAAAATGAACAAATCAACCCAATAATTGATATTGGATCTAGATGAATTTTTTCAATAATCTTCGAAAAATTGTTATAATGTATAAGATGTCTCGAGAGCTATATGATACACACACCTGTACACGTCTCGGTTTTAGTAACTTAAATTTTCATGCTGTATATTCCCAATTATGGGTCAACAGATAACCCCACTATTATTTTAATTAGAGGCAGTACACGACAAAATGAAAAACAAAATTGCATGCAAATTGTTCAAAGTATAATATTTTAAGTACAAATCGTCTTTCTGTTTAATTCTGCTATTCATTTAAAGCGCCAACACAGAAAGGAATTCAGTGGTCCCAGTCTTTAAGGACTCGTTGTTGTGAAGGGCCTATAGTAGGGAGCTTTCGATTGCACGACGACGGTAGGACGTAGAACGTAATGACGTCACTAAAAGTTATCTGCGCATGCGAGAACGTTAAGGTTACCTCGTCGAGTAGATTAAATCTACGTATGCAGAGAACGTAGGACGACAGGTAGAACGGTCACGCATGAGTGATTCGGTTCTAGCGTCGCGTCGTCGTACAAATCTAAATCTCCCTAACGTATTGTTGAAAAATACTTACCATCATCGTTAGTTTGAAATTTGATGTGATTTGAGGATTCGCTAGTTCCACCCTCACTAACAGCCACGCCATATACGTCATAATCTGTAGAGGGCGTCAGTGGCGTTACGTCGATACTCAGAGACACTTCTGAATAAACATGTATAAAGTAGTTAATTAGGTAAATTTGTTAGCAATCTACACTACAAAAAGGAAAAGCATATGATCCTTGAGCTAAAATACATTTCAAAATGTGTTAAAGTTGCCACATTTCAAAATCATATCTCATTTATTATCATGATGTATTTGTATTGAATTTTGATGGAAAATAAAGTCGTATTGGCTTAATTTTTATTTTTCCACGATTCCATCCATTTAAGTAGGTATAAAAAACAACACGTTTTCTGACTGGAATAATGTTTATTTACTACATGTTACTATTAAATTAAACCAGAGTGATGTTCAGGACATACTATAAGTACTATTCACAGGTTTCATTTATCATGTCTTTGCTTTATTTTCCTCTTGATTACATTTCAATTAATCATCCAAAATCATTCATTTTAAATCAACGGTTCAATTATATTCAAACTTTTTTTTTAAAAACAAACATGTCAAAAGGTCAAATTACTAAAGTATGGAAGGTACAAAGAGTATTCAACCAAATTATTATTACGCCCTCTATCGTATTGATTTCCTTCATAATATTCGACTTTGCCTACGATAGAAGAAAAGCAAAGAACATTATTTTCAGAAGAAAGCAGTTTTTAATGTATGAACCTTGAATGGTATACTTAACCTATATAGCCTAAAATTGCAAAAAAAATATATGTATTATAATCCAACTAATTATACCATCGTTATACGTGCTTCCAGACACAGTTAAATTGGTGCCATTGACATACAAAACGTAGTGAAATCCAGGTAGCACATCCAAAGAATTGGAAGAATTGATGTGGATAATTGCGCTGCGAGATTTGATGTCTTCATCAAGTACCCAAATTAACGGAGCAGTCGGTACCTCTGATATACGATAGAAAATACATCGAGTGATTTGTAACTTACATATTTAAGAACACAAATTTATTCAACAAAATTAATAACTGAACAAAAAAGTTCTTTCGTTGAAGCATAACAGGCTGTTTACAACTGGAACTGTTTAGTGAATGCTGTAAACTAGTTAGGGCTTGCACGAGTAAAAATTGATAAGTTATCATGTCCGTGTAAAGCCTATGCTGGACCAATTGCTTGGTCGATTGTGTTATTTTTTAACGACATGTTGAGCTGTTAATGCAGTAAGGTTGACAATAACAACTGAAATGATACTTGAAAAGGGTAAGTTGTGAACATTAAGACACGAAACACTTTAGTATTGCAGATAACAATCGATAAAAAATGCAAAAAATACTTACCGTAGATAATCGTCACCGTGATTAATTTTGCCTGATTGTCACCTGTTTCTCGCTGGAAACCTTCGCAGATGTACTCACCAGCGTCGCTTCCGGCAACGTCATTGACACGTAAAGACCCATCAGCGAGTATCACATACTTTGCTATTTAAATAACAAAATAATAGTTATCAATTTTTTTTAATTTCAGACAATGTCCATAACAAAATACAAATACAAAATAAGAAACACAAAACAAATGAGATTTATGATAGGCCTCTCTAAATTATAAATATTCAATTTATTGTTTTTTTATTATTATTTTTATTTTTTCTAATTCATAGTTTGTATTTTATAAAAGTAAGACTTTTTTTTTTATAAATTACATGATTCATTGATAGGCTTCTCGTTAACCGTCCACATGACTTTCGGTGTTGGACGCCCCGCAACTTTACATCTTATAGTTCCACTCTCACGAAAAGTAAGGTTTTGTCGCTGTGGTGTTTCCATTGATATTGGTTCTACCATAAACACAACAAAAAAACAAAAACGTTATTTTAGTTGGTGAAACGGTACGGTGGTGTGAGACCCTGTTTGTTTGTAGTGTTATCCTAAGTTTCATTATGTTTTTAAATAGTGTACTGTATTTTGGTTACTTTCTGGTTTACTCGTGCATACACATACAAGCTACACACACATACGCGTCACATGGCCTATGTACTGTAGGACTCTACATGTTTAATTCCATGTGTATATATTGTTATATTATATATTTATTATTGTATCAGTAAAATGTCGTCTTGCTTTTTATAATGTTCAAAGAAACAAATCTCGAATATATGTATATTATGTATGATATGAATATTGAATCTTGATCTTGAATCGTGTATATATTTAGCCGATATCTATCGTTGCATGTACTGTAGAAACGAACAAAGTTCATTACCATTACCACCATTAGTCAATATGAATTATTATTTCTTGATCAACCAAACATAACATTGTAACGTCACCTTTGGACGTTGCGATAACAAATTTCGATTTTTTTCAAATGAGTTTCTACAGCATAGATTCAGATGACATAATCAATAATCTTGTATACAGGTTTATAGGTCGTGACAATCGATTGGTGTTAAGACAATCAATATTGTGTGATGCTATATATAGTTTTCTCAAAGAAGTGTTTATACTTCTTATTTACGTGTAACATTTGTTATATACAAAAAGTAACTCTTCGGAGATCCCGCCTTGTCGTTTAAAATGTTTAAGAACAGGGAGTATCACATCTATCTCTATTTCACGTGTGTGCGTCGAATACTATTATTGTGTTGGTGACAAATAATCGGATTCAACGAAAGTCCCAAGCGGTCCAGTAGATTAGTGTCTGCTAAAACAGCTTAAACCTCAGCTGGGCAACTTTTTTCTTCACACACCTCCTTATTTACCATTTACAAGTTATACCGGTATCTTATAATGTAATAGATATTTCGCTAAGCCCCGCTCCTTGGATATTGTTAATGTTACAAAGTGACAATGTAAACGTGCACATAGCTACCAACCTGAGAGATATGAAATGCGTGACTACACCAGTTGAGTGGGAATGGGGTGGGGACGCCAGGGCCCCTCTGGTTAGTGGCGGAACCCTGGAGGCCCGGGCTCCAGTCACATAATCAACGGTTGGTTGTGATAATGGAACGCACAAGACCGCACGCGACTACTAGATTCTACTAAGTGCATGGTTGGCTGGGTTGTTTTGATGGGGAAAGAGAAATTTTCTCGGAAAATTGATTCTCGAACGCGAAAACGAAAGCGCTAATGACTCCAGCTATTGCATGACAGTTTTTAAAATTCAATATCACCAATTTCTTCTAATTTTAAATACATTTTCTTATGAATTCGTGATAATTCGTTATCACGCATAGACTTGTGCTAAATACGTGACAAATTTCTGATCACACACGTTTTCTGCAAAGTTGTTTCATTCAAAATCACTTTGAAATGCGGAACCGTCCCGCACGATGAGAGACGGTTGGTAACTATGCGTGCGTAACCACCGGTGCTATTCTCGGTTCAGTTGTGCAGTTTGACTGGGAGAGGGTCAAAGAGAATAAAAGCATTATTACCTTTTTGTAATATGGTCACATCATTTTGAGAGTCCTTGCCCCTACACGCGTAAGTTCCATAATCATCATCATTTTCCAGTCCCACTATTGTTAGTTTAGTTTTCCATGGGAACACATTTTCAGTAAAAAAAACTGAAACAGAATAATGTCTGTTTTGAAATCGACAAGTATACCCAAAATAAATCATTTAGTTTGCAAAACAATATGGAATCTTTATTGGCAGTTAATTTAACTGTGGATAGATAAGAAAGAAATATCTCCTTTTCAAACACGACAATCTCAATACAAACGTTTCTTTTTATTTATTCATCAGTGTTGAATATTATACTTTCTTTTTAGGTTAAGGAAAGAACGATGCGATTGCTTTGGCCTGGCCCTGAGGACTGACCTGTTGAATGCTCCATATCAGTCTGTAGGACGTCTTTTGCTAAGTCGATGGTAATGTTCCAGGTGTTAGCTGTGTAGGTGCTTGTGAATGAGGTCACCCGGCCGTACTTTTCCTCCAGATAGAGAAGCATTTCTACTGTTTTTCCGCCGTATTCTGCATCATCGCCAATCCCATATGGCGCATCTTTCGGCTTGTGAATAGCGTCAACACGGCCTCGCACAATCAGGTTATCTTCGTCTTGATACCTCGATAACTCAAATACAAATTCAAATTTTATTTTCGAATGAAAATAAATATTTCAAACAAGAAAGTCTAAACCTCCCATTGTAGGATTGTCAAAAGTTTTTAAGTGACTCTCTAGACAAAATCCACACACAAAACATAATGAAGCACTAAACAAATTATAAACAATTAAATCAGCTAAAGACGCTACCAAATTTTTCTATTGAACAAAATTATGCTTCGTTAAGAAATAAAAGAATTTCAGTATTTTGATCGAGATATTCTTTGATTCCTCAACAATGATGTGGGGTGGCGGTGGATCTAATAATATTATTATCTGGAAGAGAATTGAAAAGTTTGCTAAAGTGAATAGGCGCCTATATGGTGAGTACTTTTATGCATTAGTTGTGGATGTCTATGGTTAACATAAATATCAGGCAGATAACAATCAAGATAAATGTAAAGCCCTTTAACAATAAGATGCAAAAACATAATGCTAGAATACAAAGATGAAATATTAAGATGCTTGAGTCTCTCTGAATAAGGAGGAAGGGCACGCCAATGCCCACAAATGACTAAGGATCTGGTGAATCTGTGTTGTGCCCTTTCCAAAGGTGTTTGGTGGAAATGGCCATGCTAGGGTTACTACGGATGGGTACCGTGCCATACGGTACCGGTACGTTAT